ACACCCAGTACTGAGTAAAAGGGGAATACTGGTACCTGTTACTGAGTAACAAGGGGAGTACCGACACTTGGTACTGAGTAACAAGGGGAGTACCGACACCTGGCACTGAGTAACAAGGAGAGTAACGGCAACTGGTACTAAATATCAAGTGGAGTACTAGCACTTGGTACAGATTAACAACGGGGGTACCAGCACCTGATATTGAGTAACAAGGGGAATACTGGCACCTGTTAGTGATATTTAAAGACACAGGCAGAATGTTTCTGACACTGATGTAACTTATAAAGGCAGTTTAGGTCACCATTTAACCAGAAAAACAGAAAACTTTCAGAAGGTGAGGTTGTGAAATGGATGGACACTTGACATTTAGGTTTTTTTTTCCATGGAATAATCTCACAGCTCTCCTTGCCGCCAGTTTCGCAGTGCTCTGCGGGACTCCCCTCCAGCAGGGTTCTGCACTCCTCCGATACTCTCCCTGCCAAATCGGCACCGGCCTGCAGGTGCAGGGGGTCACACGGTGCTGACAGCAATGAGGGGGGGGGGTGCATATCTCACAGCCTGTGGCCGGCAACTCGGCAGCCGCCTGGCTCATGCAGGAGCACCCTGGTGTGAAAGCCCCACTGACAGGAAGCCTCCCCTTGTCGGCAGTGAAATGGCCCCGTGCTCAGGAAGGGCCTGGCCTCTCGCTGGCGCCCCTCGGGATCTTCAGAGACAAGCACTTTCCCGGCCTTTCCTGTAGTACCCCTTATTTTACGGAGACTCGCGGCGTAGGGCGAAGGCTAATTTGATTTACACTCGCGTGTCCCGTCCCATATGAATAGAAATAAGAGCATTTGGAGTGGGATAAGCCCTTCGCATCAGTGAAGAGGGGGTCCAGTAAACAATTCGGGGAGAGGGATGGCAGGACGACAAGAACATCTCGATTAGCCGATTTGTTCCGAGTCCCCCATCGTAGCGCACTGTAATTACCACCCCTGTTCAAGTCATTAGCCAGCCGCAGAGGAAGGCAATGGTCTCCACCGGCTCCAGATGAGGGCACTAATCTGGTTATGGGCTCTCTCAACCAATTAAAAGGCATTTCCTTTAAATCGGCAACAGCCATTACCTGAGTCTTATTAAATCACCAAACGCGAGCCTTCCTCAGCTTTAACTTTAAAAAGCCCAGCCTCCCCAGCCCCCCCCCCCCACTGGTTTTGTATGTCAGTGATTGTTTTTAAAATGACACTTAGTGTGTGACTGCTTTCCAGAGCAAGGCTACAAATATGAAATAGGCATTACAGTCACTGGACTGTTAAAACACAAATGACCGACTAGGAAGGAGACACTGCCTATTAAATGCCATGTGGTGCATTTCTGAATGGTCAAGGACGTTGACTAAAAGCAAGGTTAGTATCTGGGAATTCAGGGAACTCCACCTGTATCCATCTGGCCTATGATGCTTTCCAGAGGATTCTGGTTACTGACTGGAACTAAAACCTCTCCCAGTGCCCAACCTACAGAAACCAGATCACATGACTCTGGTTGCAAACTTTGATCCTGCAATCAAAGGGTCACAGAAATCATTTTCCCCACACTGGAACACTGGCGTTTTCCTTACTTACAGCTCTCCCACCAGAAACACTGATGCAAAGTGGAGGTTGCATGTACTCCCTGTACTGCACAGGTTTCCTTCCACTGTCTAAAGATATGCAGAGTGGCGTCACTAAATTGCCCATACTGTGTATGTGTGTATTGTGTGTATATATGACCCATTCCTGTGACCCTGACCAGGAGAATTAGTTGGAAGATGGATGGATGGATGGATGGATGGATGGATGGATGGATGATATCCAAAGCAAAAATATGTATTTTTCCAGTTTGCATTACAATTGCCACAGGTGTACACTGGCTACTTCAGGTGTTACACATTACAATCACTGTAATAAATGCAATATGAAGGTGCAGTTAATGTAAAGTGTTACCAAATAAACCATCTGGTTATCAGGACCAGGCCCACCACACACAATTACAGAATTACTTAAAGCAGGTCCCCATGAGGTCCACCTGGCCTCTCTCCTCTCCTAGCCCCCCCCCCCATGAGCACAGGCCTAATCAGGACTGATGACTGAGGCCGGTGGACTCTGAAAAAACACAGCAGGGCAAGGATGCTGGGACCCACAGTCCTGTGGTGATCATGTTCGGCAGTGGGCCATGGGGGCAGTGCCAGGAAGGGGTTCAGATTAAGGCAGAGGGGCACAGTAGCGCCCCCTGGGGGGAGCGCATCCAGCAGTACCAGTACTCCTCCTACACACACATACACACAGCACTGGTATTGCGGCCTGACGCAAAGGCTCAGTCAAACTCCAGTGTGCGTGTAAACACCAAAACAAACAAACACCAAAACACAAAGTACAGCGGCAGATAATTAATTAGAAGCTTCAAATACAGTGGCTGGAAACCTGGAAGAACAAAGTGTGTTCACCTGTTGTCAGGAACGAGGGAACATGTGCCTCCAAATATGCAAAAATGTCCCAGTTCTGAAGGTTTCTGCTACTGTGACGTTTAGCAAAAAAGGCAAAGAATCAAGCTGTTTTTTTTAAGTTAATCCTCATTTTGTTGCTCTTAGATCGAAGCCTAAACTACACAGTTAACAATATTCAGAAATCTGTACTCTTTTCCATGATGAAACGTACAGTG